AAAGTAATAGCAAATTCACTTTGATGAAACTTTGCAATATAATTGTGAAAATGATACTACACCTAGTAGGTAATAGATAAAAATACAGACCAATTGAGTTTTTTTTCTGTTTGAAGTCGGTTAAAATTACATCTATGCGTCACCACGGAGATATACGGAGATAGACGGAGATAGCCGGAGATAGGCGGAGATTGCCGGATATGCCCGGAGGAAACAGTCGGAAACAGCCGTAAACAGCCGAAAACAGCTGGAAACAGCCGGAAACAGTCGGAAACAAACTGAAACATCTATAGGTACTTCTGTTTTGTTTTCTTAGTTTTGTGCGATAAACTCTCAAACTACTGAATTAATTTTAATCATTTATTGACTAATAGGCAGCTATTGAATAATTTATATTTAGCTGATTATTTAAATTACATAATAATAAATTTTCTTACTGTTAATTTTGTTTTTTCTATAAATATAAAGCATGTTCTAATTAATGAAGATAGTGATGATGACTAATAAAAGATTTTTTTATTAATATCTGTTTAATTTCTATTGAGAAAATATTTATTCTATTTCTTTTTTAACCTTTCGTGCCCAATATTGAAAAACTAAAAATGTTGTGCAAGATAAAAGTGTGAACATTATAGTGGTCGCAAAGTGCCTGCTCACTTACTTTTGATTTTTTTTCGACATGTTGCACCTCTTGGATTTTAATGAAACTTGGCATGCTGTTAGACAATATATAGACAATTGTTATATATTTTTTTTCAAAGTGGTAATTTAATTATATCTGATGGAAATCGATTGCCAAAATTTTTATTTGCATTTTTTTAATACTTTTATTTAGGCTTGGCACATAGGAAACAGCTAAAAAATAAACTATAAAGCGTATTATAACACTTACATTCAGTTTTATTTTGCTAGCTTTGAAATTAAGTAAGATATAACGCTTTGAAAAAAAAGTCGCCCCGGACACTTTCTTTCAAACAGCTCCTCAATTAACTATTGTCAGTGTCCTCTACAACATAACATTGGTTACGATATATGTTCCTATCGCGGGCAGTTTCGCCATAGAAGTACGGCTATTTACGGCTACGGTTCATCAAAATCCCTCCAGTAGTTTTTCTGTGATGCGGTAAAAGACAGACAGACAGACAGACAAAAATTCTAAAAACTATAGATTCGGCTTCTGTATTGATAATAATGTCTATTTCAATAAGATTTTCCAAAAAATATTTATTGTACAGATTCGACTTAGAATTTTATTTATATGTATAGATATACATCTATACAGACTATTACGCAAATACTACAGTATAATATTACAGCTACAGGATTCAATGGTGGAAAAATGTAAATTACAGCATTTACTATTTAATAATATTACTACTGTAGTGGTTGAAATTAGACTATAATCATTATTGAAAATTTGAGGAAAACATGTGTATATGAATAGAATTTACCTATTTAGATGAAATTTGGTATGGAGATATATAGATATAGAGATTTGGTAGAATAGTTTTATCCCGGAAATCATCTCTTTAAGGGGTAAAAGGGGGAATGAGAGTTTACATGGGAAATTAATCATTTCTCAAGTAAGACTTATAATACCTATAATATATACTACTCTCAAACTGCCTCGGTGGTGTAGTGGCTAGCATGTACGGCTGCACACCGGAGGTCCTGGGTTCGAGTCCAGGGTCGGGCCAAGTTTAGTTATTGAGTCTTTCTGTATATTAAGTCTCAGTAACAGCCCGGAGTTGGGAAGTTGGCGGTGTTTCACCCCCGTGCCTCGGAGAGCACGTAAAGCCGTCGGTCCTGCGCCTTAACTCTCACTGGTCGTGTCGAGTGGTCGTCCCACCGGAGTATGAGAGTGACAGGAAAAGAGAGTGCACTTGTGTCTGCGCGTACACTTGTGCACTATAATATCTCCTGCGCAGTTGGCTAGTCTCAATGAGATTGGCCGCCGTGGCCGGAATCGGTCAGGAGAACATCATCAATATATACTAATATATAGATACGCGCCGCTAGTTTATTCGAAGACATCAAGTACGCCTTCATCCAACCTCTGTGGTTTTCGTCTACGCAGGTGCCAGGCAGGTAGGAAAAGTATGATTATTGATTGACGTTTTGGGCGGGACGTATGATTTTCTGTTGCGTATATAAATTTTATTAATTACTGTCAATATAACGATTACATCAGGAAAAGTGTTTCATTGTTTCAAAATATTCCATCTATTCCATACTTACCGTTAAAACGTAGTTAGGGACGAACCCAAGCAAAGCGAATGTGAGTCGCTAGTCTTACCACTATAATAAATGTGAAAGTTTGTGAGTGTTTGTTCTCTTTCACGCCAGAACGGCTCAACGGATCAGGATGAAATTTGGCATAAAGATAGACTATAGTGTGGAATAACACACAGGCTACTCTTTATCAAGGAAAAATATACGGTTCCCGAGGGATAGATTTGTTTTGATTTTTTAGAGGCAAACCCGAGCGAAGCAAGGGTGAGCCGCTAGTATATCATAAGGCCATAAACTACTCATAACTAACTGATGAAATTCGAAATTCTAATTTTACATATATTTTGAGATTCAGTAGCTATCTCTCGCACAGATATTTTCCTTTACCTCATTTTCACGCGGCAACCATGTTGGAAAATTATTCACGCACGAATTCTGGTAAGCCTATTAAGTACTGCGTAATGTTGTGGGGAAAAAATTGAAAAATGCAAATTACAATCACAATGTTTATTAAAAATTATTAATTATAAATAGGATACGTTTTAAATTCAATTTAAAAAACACGTAGAAATATAAAAATGTACAAATTTGAAAGATGTTAGAGAAAATACACATCACACAAAAATATATATCAAAATAATCCTTAATAGAAATTAGTAGCTGGATACCAATATAGGTACAGTTTTTAAATATCACCAATAAATAAATGCATGGAAAATAATTTAAAGAATTTTTCATCTACTCTACACACAACATAATATTATAATAATTCGAAATTAAAGTATAAAAATAATTTAAGTAACCTCTTTATCTTACCGCCTCTCCGTGACGAGAGTTGTAGAGTTATTCTGAAAGATTTTTTATGTAACTCGATAGCTGAATTCGCGAATAAACTTCATATTAGTATAATATACTTCATGAACCTGCGCGAAGTGAGGGTGACTCGCTAGTAATTTATATTTTTGATGCTTAATTTGTGTAGGTAAAAACCGAAGGTTTACACAGGTGTAAAGACACACCTTGGGTTCCGTAGCATGAACATGAACGTAGTTTTCGGATTATATTTCATATTCATTTGACCGCGAATTCAGCTGTAGTTAGTTACATAAAAGATCTTCTTACAAAATAAAACTACTGGCTGGTTTTTTTTTCGCCTAATGAATGGAAACGCGGATAGCATTCTTGCCACAATAACGCACGGACATGACTTGTACAGTCCTAATTAATAATTAAGTGCACATTTTTTTATATATAATTAAGTAAATGTTTTCGTTTCTTATAAATAAATTATCGAAGAAGTACTCAAAAACCATTACTTCATCGATTAATCGTCTGTCAATCGTAGAAAAGTGTTGAACTTGTAAAAATATCTTATCAATTTTCTTAATAATATAGTACTTAAAAGTTGATTTGAATTATATGTATCTTTTAAATACCATATTCCAACCATTTTTAAGTCTTCTGTGAGATTAACAATGCATGATTTTTATTTGAAAAGTTTTAATATCTCACCAATATCTTTATCTTTATGGCTTTTCTAACGTCCATGTTTTCTTATATAAAACATTAAATATACTTAAACGTCGTCTAATTTTTAATTAAACATCAAAATGCTTTTGAATTACAAAAAAGGTAAGAAAACATAGATTTATGAGATTGTGTGATTACAATATTATCTTAAACACATTTAACCCTTAAAATATTATAATGTGATGGCAAATATAAAAAATATTCATATGTATAGCTTCGGCGGGGACCAACGACGATATAGTTTCATAATATATCTTTATCAGAATAAGTTAGGGGCGTTGTCTTCTAAATATTTTCTAAAAAATATGTTTGTATTCTCATAATAGCTTATAATTTTACTGCTAGATCGAGCTCAAAGTGGGTTTGGCAAGGGTTCATTCTATAATCGTTGTAGAATCGAAATTTTAATAATTGTATTGAACAACTTATCGATATATCATAGTATCATAATATGTAATTTCTTTATAGTTTTATAGGTTTCTATTATAGAACGACAGTAAAATAGCATTTGAATTAAATTGAGTGTTTCACGATGCGATCTTATATCTATACTATAATATTATAAAGAGGTAAAGTTTGTGAGTTTGTGACGTTGTAGGGGGTAATCTCTGGATCTACTGAAATGATTTAGATGAAATTTGGTAAGAAGATAGTTTGAGACCCTGGGAAGGACACAGGATACTTTTTATCCCGGAAATCATTCCTTAAGGGGGTGAAAATGGAGATGAAAATTTGTATTGGGAATCAAGCTAGGGACGAACCCGAGCGAAGCGAGGGTGAATCGCTAGTATTGCATACATTTAAAGTCTGGTACAATACAATATCATTGTTATTATTCCTTGAGCCCTTTCTATGTGAAAACTTGTCTTATTATTTATGGAATTTATCCACCTTCAAAAAGAAGACAATATATTTTTTTGTGTTTTTGTTTGTTCTATATAAATCTAATCGAACCATAAAAGTGATGAAATATGAATTTCAAAAAAATCATCTCTACGGGGCATTTCATACATTCCCAAGTAATCAGATTGCTTTAAATGTTGAATTATAATGACTTTACATTTACACTTATAAAAATTTACATTTTAAGAAATTTGGTTCAAGTGGCCTTAAAAATAGAATAAGGGTAATTATACTTTAAAATTAAGTCTAGTTACACAAACAATTTTTGAAGGCGGTTAATTATTTACGAACTTATTGACAAGTAATCGAATATTATACTAGATTAAATTAACTTAGAATTGGATACCCGCTTGCACTTGTGCCATAAGGTGTGCAGATTTGCGGAGTTGATTGAGTTCCTTCTCAGTGAGAGGTTGGCGGATGACGTCAGAGACGCCGTTGCTGCCCAGCACGCAAGGGAGGGAGAGGAAAACGTCCTCTTCTATACCATGTTCACCCTGAAATTATATTAAACACTCCATTTACAATAATATAAGAACATTTATACCCCAATTTTAAGAAGAAATAATATTTTTTCAAAAATTGACATTATATCTAACGTTCAAATTCAAAATTGAGGCACTACTGAGTTACAATGTTTTTCCTTGGACTTGTCAATTTTTGTTTTTTCATTATTCAAATTTCTAAATATCTTCATCATTCCTATAGAAAAATTGAATAGAAAATTTGACAAATATTTTTAGCTACAAGACAATTTCGCGTTACACAAATTTTACGACAACAACGATATTAAAAAGTGATTTTGTGTTACAAATATATATACATATAATGTTATAACAATGTCTCCACTGGGCTGTAAAATTTAAATATCGTTGCAGTACACAAACTTGCACAAAAGAGATTGGCTATTACTAGGTGGGCATTATTATTATAATTTTATTGATATATTCAGCACTAACCTTCAAGTAAGTAGATACAGCATGTACACTGTTAGCGTTAGATAGAATCGCTCGAGCCAATTGTGCTAGCGAGAGACCAATAGCCCAGGAAGTGTAGCCCTTTAGCCCAATAACTTCATACGCGCTCTTTACCACCATATCGTGTAATTCTTGCCAATTTTCAGGATCATTTTCTGTTCCCACTTTGGAGTTGAGATCACTGAGACGTACTCCCGCTACGTTCACACCCGACCATACCGGTACTGTGAAGATATTGTTTTAACTATCAGTTAATTTTTGAAGTAAAACTCCTTTACGCACGCTAGACTTGGGGGGTAAGCTGGTGAATGCGTTACAAAAAGTGTAAATCGGGTAAAGCGAACGTTTGTTGCCATGGTAACCGTTGTTATTGTCTGACAAATGATATATAATATTATATTCTTTCCTTAAATGATATTCTATAAATATGTGATTGTAATATGCCTAATATGCGTTATTTTTAGTATCTAACCTATCCTAATTATTTAAAACAAATTGAATTTCATAAAGAATACCGATTACCTACAGAAGTTTTACTTATTGCGCGTGTACACATTCATACAAGTACTCTTAAATTTTTGTGATTAGTAAAATTATAGGTAAATGAGTTAATTATTACGGTAAAGTCACTTAAAGTTTGTTAGGTCTTCTCATTTGCGGAACAATACGTATAATACGTATGGGTATATTTATGTTATTTATAACAGTTGCAAGTGATCACTGAATCAATTTACGTAAGTAATGTTATATATAGTATATATAAAAATAAGACATTGTGATTGAAAAAAGTATAAAATTTTCCCAATTTTCAAGACTTTATATTGTGCAGCCTTAAAACTTTTCATATAATAAGCACAAAATATACAAATTAGATTAGACGTTTTTATCGGTAAGTGCTCTTGTAACTTATAAGTTACAAGTGAAAAAGAGAAAGTGTGTACTAATAAGTAACTAAATATAAAATGAGATATAATATTCAATTATTATTTAATAGTATTTAATTCAGTATATTAACCAATACAAACAAAGGCGGGCTATAATCGTCATTATAGGATTTGGGCTGTCTTACAATCAGGATGTCCCGGGGGATAAATGCATTCTCGGCACAGATAACGTATCAATATATAAGGGGCGCTGTCGAAACCCGGCTGTCTTTGTGAGAACCAAAATCGATATCAAGAAAGAATTTAAAAATAACTACAAAAAGAATGTTAAATTGGCTTATCTGAGTTTGTTGGACTATTGCATAACAGCAATAGCAGCAACAGCATAAGAAAAATTCAAAACATTATAACTTCTAGCTACGTAGAATTTATGTACGTTGATAAAAAATCGTCAGAATAAATATCTTACCACTGCTATCTCCGTGCTCTCCGATAATATAACCGTGGCAAGATGTTGCTGCGACGCCCAGCTTCTCGGATAAAAGGTAGCGGAATCTAGCTGAGTCTAGATTAGTTCCAGAGCCAATCACACGGTGTTTCGGCAACCCACTGATCTTCCACGTGACGTAGGTCAGAATGTCGACTGGATTGCTGGCAATGACGAATACAGCATTTGGGCTGTACTTCACGAGCTGTTAAAGAGACGTTTTAAGACGTGTATAATTTAAATGTTAAGTAAAAAAATAATATATAATAATTTACTTAAAAGCTAAAATTAGAACAAGAAATCAGATTCCGCCAGATTTCTTAAAGCACTTATTTTCAGAACTAAGGGTTTTCTCTGAACTGGTGGTAAGCTTATGATGTTCAGTAAATAATGTTGTAAAATATTTATTACTGTTTTTTTTTTGTAATTTAAGTTTCAGATGAATATATGTATGTATATCTATTTAATAGTAAAGAATTTGCATAAACCTAAGTTAATTAAAAAAAAAACGTAAATTAATTATTTTTATAATATGTTCTTTAGATTAGATACTTATAGCAATTATTATATGATTGATATATTGTTTAATGGTATATTGTTATCAATTTAAGAGCAAAAGGTTTATTTTGACTAAAAACAGTTTGTCCCTATGTTAGTTTGTTCACGCTACACTTAAAAAGTACCGTATTTATTTTGATCACATTTTGTACAATATTCTATTAACAGATTTCATCATAACTTACTAATAATAAGACAAAATACTCGCGTGACATTATCCGTCAAACAAATTTACGTCGTCCCTTATGAAAAAGGTAAATTCGCCCAGTGGATAGACGATGTTCAACACATCCCAAGGTGAGAGCGTATCAATAATTAAAAAACTTAATATTAATAGTAATATGACATTGGATCATACTTAAGTATATTCGCGAACCCATTAAGTATTAATGTTGTAAAAATTTTGGTATATATGATTTTGCAACATTGATTCTGTATTCCTTTTTCCATAATTTATTTGCGATGCTTACTTAACCTAAGTTAAGATACGATGGGACTAAAAGGATAAAAGACCCTAAATAAAAATAGAGATAAAAAAAGACGAATTACGAAAATGTTTACATGCTGATTACTGTCTTGCATAGATTGTACTCTTCAGTTAATCGGAAATTATCAAGAATAAGAAAAGTAAGCTTTCATGTAAACCCCCATTTTGTATTTTATATGTAAAAATTACGGTTTAGAATTTAAGGACATAAATAATACTTATTAGTCTTACCTATGTATATAAAACTAATTTTGCTTATAGCTCCGCTCATAACCACTCTCACACGGATACTTTATCTACCAGTTAAGATATCTTATAAATCGACTAACAGAATATAGTGGATACTAACAGACAAACATGCAAAAATTCTCTTAAACTCTTTGTATGTATGTATGTACATATAAGTAACACCAAAATCAAGTTTCTTCTATCGTTCGGGTGCCAAAGAAAGTGTTTAGATTCTTCGTCTATACACTACCATGCAAACCGGACCGGAACCGGATATTTATTGGTCGTGCACTTAATACGTAAATGTGCAGCACTCGTCAGGCGTAGTCGGAAAATTCGTATACAGTACAAATATAATAAAATTAATTAGTATGTAATTTTTTGAATGTAAATATTATTTTTATATAATGTTATCCGAGCGCCTGACATAATAATAAAGTTCATCTCAATTCAAATCGTAAAATGTAATCATTGTAGCAAAATTTATAAATATATGAACGTACGCATGTGTATGATAGTTTTGCAATCTTAATTGGTTGTAGATAAGTCATATCGTGCTGGTAAAAAAAATCAAAATGTCAATATTTTAATGAATTAAAAGGTTCAAAATTTGTAACTAGATAGTTAAGCCCAATGTGAAGAGGAATATTAAATAATATCTATTATGTAGAGTAGGCTGGTCTAAGAGCACACATCCGATAAGAGTACGCAGTGTCAATAGACACGATGTTATTTACGATCCGCGGCTAACTTCAGTGATATTTTAAAGTGTAAGCTAGTGAGAAGTGCTATGCGAAAAAAAAAGGAAAACCCTACAAAAAAACAGAATTTACGTAAGTGTAAACATTTTTACACCTAGACCAGCCTACCCTATTTGGCTTGGTGTGATAGGACCGATTTGGCAATTATTTTTTTATATTTATAACTAGCGACTCACTTCACTCGGGTTCGTCCCTGGGTACGTTTTAAATTAAAATGGATATAGTGTGTTATCCTTAAAAGATAGACATATGCCATCGCGGACTTTTTTATAGGCCTATATAAGATACACAATTTCACCATACGTAAGTTTGTTATATCTCAAAGGGTTTAGACAGCGTTTTTGTTGAAAGCTCCCACAAATATCGTTATATTTTAGCCAATGTATACAAAAACTTAACAAATTATAACTTAAATCTTCATCGAGAACCACTCTATCCATTGGTGAAAACAGCATGAAAATCGGTGCAGTAGCTTTTGAGTTTATCGCGAACAGCAAGACGCGGCGGAGGACTTTGTTTTATATATGTAGTGATTATCTAAATAGGGTTTTTAGGAAAATGCGAAAATTCTGGAGAAGCCTCCATTTTTTTCTTTAGAATTTTTGTAAGAACACAACGGTCACTCAATGAATTTGGTCAGCTAGTATTTTTATAAGCGCCTCGAAGAGCTAGAAATATGTATGTATTACGATATTTTTAACATTTTCATTTCAACTATAGCGGGATAATGCGGTACAAGACTGGCTGACTTGGAAATTTTTTGGGCTATGTCTTACTATAACATAATAAGTTAATAAAGTGTCAATGGTAACCTCCGCGAATTTCCTAATCTATACAGATAAATGAAATTGAAATGTCTGTTTGTAATGTAGAAATAACAGCAGTAAGTAAAACTAAATGCATCTGAAATTATATACGGTACTTATAAGAAAAATACAATTTTTATTTTCTCTGTGACTTAATAGATATAATATAGAAATAACTTTAAATGTATTTACCTGTGGAATAATACTTTTTAGAACGTCAGTGTTCCTCTGCACTAGGTCAAGTCTAGATTCTCCCTCGCGTTGACGGACTCCTGCAGTTACGACGCAAATTTTGGAACCAGCGGATACAGAATAATCTGCGGAAAAATATAAATTTGCTATTATATATGCCATATATTTTTTTCAGTATTAGGACAACGGGTTAAGATTAATCGATGCATAGAAGTTTATTGGGAGAGTTAGGTACAATATGAATGCTTCTCATCTCGTTACAAGTGTTTGCAAAAAGCTAGCTACCAAATAAAAACCTAGTGATCCGTTACCAAACTATAATAATTAGATAACTTTAAAATCGTATCATACATATATCACATATTTTTATTAAAATCTTATCAAATCCTCGTCAAATTGATTTTTCTAATATTTTCCTTACCGGTGCTAGCTTGGATCTTAGCATTCTTCATGAAGGCGGAACCGTGTTGAAGGTCCATCATCTCTCCCTTCAGTTTGTCTTCCATTACATCCACTAATGCGATGTTATTCGTCACACCCTGAAATAAATACATATAATAACTTAAGCCTTTGGACCTATGGTTTATTATAAAGACTTAGAAATAAAAAAAATGATAAAATAAACCTTTGGGTATACCTACCTGCTATGAGGTAATTTTAGAAGCATTCATTAAATATTTGAAGTTAGTATAAAAAAATGGTGTTTGATGGACACCGCCTTCTAAACTTAACATCATAGTCTATCTAAAGACTAAATTTCATCTAAATTCTGTAGCTATTTTAACGTGAAGGAATATCAAACATACACACATAAAAACATTTTCATAGTAGTCCTATTTAGAGATTTAGAATTAAAAAAGGTAATATATTTAGTATTAATAGATAGCATTGCGGATGGGATCAATGAACTGGGAGTCGGTCATTGCCAAGATATATTCTACTATCCTACGCTATTTATTAATAGGGTTAATTTTATACTATTAGATCCACTAGAGAAAGAACATATCGATTAATTCATGCGAGTTTATAAATTACTTTAATCTAGCTCTAACAAGACGTCATCCTACTATCTATATATCGCTAATAAAGTCAATAATCATATAAAATGGACTAAAATAGTTTATCTAAGCGTTATATCACGTGATCAGATATTATGAAACAGTAAGTTTGATTCCTACGTAGTATAAAAAGTATAAGCATTCAAAAGGGTATCAATCTTAATATATATAATTCTTCTGTACGTGTGTTTGTTAACCTACTCCACCTAAAGGGCTAGACTGATTTGGATGACATTTTGTGTGTGTATTTCAATGGGCTCCTGGATGGTTTGAAAACACAATTGAACCCGGTAGGTGGCGCTACAGTCGGTGTGCCACTGATCATCTCCGAAACGGCAGGGACGATTTGAATGATATCTTTTATGTATGTTCGAGTGGGTCCCTGAAAGGTTTGAATTCACAAATGGATGCGGTAACTGGCGCAGCAGTCGGTGTGTTACTAGATTTTCATAAAAGCCTCCATTTTCTGAATAAATAAATTTAAATTGTTGATTAAATTAAATAAAAACTATGTGTATGAATGTATGTTTCCTATGGACTCCAAAACAGCTAGAGCGATTTTGATGAAATTTTCAAAGATGCCCAGCGGGTGATTTTGTGAATTTTGTTAGCGATCGGAAGTTTATATATATATATATATATATATATAATACATATTCTGAAAATAAGGAATATTTTACATCTTTTCCGTAAAAAAACTACAATATTACAAAACGTCGAGCGATGCTTGGTCGCCCAGATATTTTTAATAATGTATAAATTAATAAACGCTATGTTCAAGCAAATACATTGTTTTGTTGATAAATAACAAATAGCTTTTAGAGAAAATCGATTTAACATCGATTAAACCATGTCAATGTTATCAAGCTTGATAAATGGACAATAAGTATATTGACTAAAGGTGTCTTATATTTAATTTTAACACTTTATTAGAAAGGTGAGAAATTATGTATAGCATTAACTTAAGGAAAAAAAAAATAATCATGATACCTACGATAGATTATTTGAAAGTGATGCAATTGAAAACATTATATAATATATACATTGTTGTAGAAAAGTTAACAGATTCACATTTTTATACCAAGTATAGATTATTAAGTGTAAAAATTGTTATTGTTATAAAAGTCATAAGCAGCACACATACTCTGGAAACAGAGAGGTGGGTTCATACCTAACTCAGAAATTTTAATTATTTTGATCTACAAATCTTATCTTCAGGATAATTTAATTATTTTGATCATATTTGCCAACAAAAAAATTATCGAAAGAAAACCTTCATATCTTAACCACTTTTCCAAAGACGTGTAAAATGCGACTTCAGGGTGACATTAAAAGTAGAATAAATTAAGTAAAATGTGAATATTGTTGGCACCGTCGTCGACTATTTTAAACTTATTTTTAATTAGCGACTTTACGTTTTAACGTTTAGTACAGATTTCTCAGAGATGAGATAATTTCTCACAGTAAAAAATATCCTATTTGTTGACCCGGACAACCAGCTATCATCATACCAAGTTTCATCAAAATCTGTACAGTGGTTTTCTCGTGATGAATTTCCAGATAGACAGACAGACACAGGCAAAAATTCTACGAACTATAGTCGGCCTCTGTATTGATAATAATGACTATTTCAATAAGATTTTCCAAAACAGTACAGTACAGATTCGAGTCAGTGAGTTAATTGTTATAAATAATATGAATGATACAATTAGTTTTTTGAAAATGAATAGGTATTTTGTAAATACTTTTTTATACTTTTCATAAATTGCACAACATTACACGTTATTTTACTTGAAATTCTACACAAGCGTGTACGCGACATGACGTCACCAGTTATTGAAACGGTCATATTACATAGGAACTACGCAACAAGTGAATCATGTATATATGTACATAAATCTAGTTGTGTTTGTGTCATAATTGTCACGACATTTGCTCATCTTTCTGTCTGTCTGTCTTCGTTATATATATATATATAAAGAAAGTATTTTTTGTCTGCCTGTACCAATCGCGGACCACTTCTTAATATCGCATAGGCGAAAAAAATCTATTTTAATCACTCAAAAAGATTCGAATACAATGCTTCCCAAATCACATTTAATACCTGTGAGTGGTGAGATCATCATCATTATCATCCTTTCCCAATCATTTGGGGTCGGCGCAGTACAGCTTCCGTACTGCTGATAGGATTTGGCAAAAGTTTTACAACCGGCAGTCTGCCTGACATCAACCCTCCTTGGGAATGCTATTGTTTATTACGAAAAGAACCCAAGGTGCGATAACCAGCCACATCTAATTTAGATATATAAAATTATCTAATGCCAGTAATTTTTTTCACCACTTTCATTGGCACAGTCAATTGCTTGAGGTTAGGCGTGGCTTAATATAAGAGTTAATAGAGGAGAGTTCTTAAATATACGTCTTGTAATATGCATATTCCATATTGTTTTCTTTTAAAACATTTTTTATAGTATATTACTCAAAGTTTTAATGTAATTTTCTGATATATTTTGAAATAAATTTTGTACACAGAGCAAATTTTGTTTTGATGTTATAATATACTCAAATAAATCTATACATATAATAAAATTGTAACTAAGCAGAATCAGCATTAGATATTTTTTGTAAAAAAAGCATCATTATTATCGCATATATGTGCAACAATGATAGAAGCAAACAGGAAAAAATTCTTTATGTTATTTCCCGAACTATTTGTAATAGGTACTGTGTAAGTATCGGTTACTTTGTACGTACTTACTGCATACTTCGATTCTTACTAAATTATATTTTATTCTTATTTTTCAAATTGTATTTTTTAAATCATATATTTTTGTTTTTCATATATAATGTTCTATCCTTAAAAATCATATATTTTATTAATGTGTTAAGTAGGTATTATTCTTTTTTCAATATTTTCATAATACATAATTAAACTGCTCAGAAACATTCAAAAATAAAAACTCTTAACTCCCAATCAATTTTCTACTTATATTGTCTATGATTTCTATTAAATATATGAAAAATTATTACCTTTCTCTAAAAATGGCACACTGATTTTAAAATCTTTTAAAAACTTCTAAAGAGTAGAAGTAAATCTCACTCTTAAATTGGCAGGTACACAATTTACAAAAAATTATACGCTATAATTGATGATTAGCCCATAGATTAAATACCTGAGTCAACATTGAGAATACAGCGGCCATGCCGACTTGGCCGGTCCCAACGACGGTGACTTTGTTCCCGGTGTCATCCCTCTTGGGTTGGATCGGCTGAAACAGTTGCTCTAGGGTTGCCATTCTACCTATAAATAAATAAAAAATATTTGTAGTCATATATAAATGATATTGTTTCACTGTAGGTACGTTGGTAAGCGCATGAGAAGAGCTGGACCGATTTGTCAGATTTTTTATTAAAATATCCTTATTAACTCGAGTAAGTTTTTTTGAGAACAGATATTGAAAAAGTTGGTCGAAATATTTGAAAAAATAAAATTGATTTGACTATGACTGATTTTTTGTGTGGAGATAGTTGAAGGGCTGGAAAGTGACATACGTACTATACTATACTACTTTTTACCGCAGGAGATTATCAAATTCCAATGCAAAACACGTTATAATACAACCCAAAAGTTTATAATCAGAATTACTTGAAAAATATAAAGTATTAATGCTCTTCAATAATATTAAATAAACATGTTTTAGCATTTTTCGAAATTCATCCTATAAAGGAGTAAAATAGGGAGTGAAAGTTTCTAGAAAACTACCTTTTTAAAGATTTTTTGTTTTGGCACAAGCGAAGCCGCGGGTTCTGCTAGTATAATATACATCTTTTTTGTATGTTCGATTTGTACAAAGAGCTTAGAATGTCGAAGAACCTTATGACAGAAAAGTATGCTAGAAATTTTGTCACAATAATATTTTATAAAAAAAATCCTTCCATCTCTATAATAGATGAGCATTGTTATAGAAAACACATTATTATAAATTTTTAAATTAAATCTGATGAAAATATAAGATTTAAGCTTTAAGCTCCGTAGTTCCATGTTAAATGATAACGCACTTTAACCAAACAATTTGCGAAATTACAACACGAGACGTGAGATTCACGATATAAGTGCGTGTAGCGCATTTTTATTAGTTTGATAATTTTATTACAATTAAAATCATGATAACAGTATAAAAAGATAATATTTATTTTAATACATTATGTTTATTTTTAATTGATTAACACTTACATCATAGCGTGCATGGCGGCCTACCATAAAGTAATTGGGAAAAAATGTTAATACTTTTCTTTTTCAATATATAAACTTTAACCTCGTAATAAAATGTTAGGAAAATATTAAAAAAAATTGGGAAAGCATTAAATTTATGTGAAATATAAAAATATAAAAAGTCTAAAAAACACAATACGCAAAGCACAAATAATACAAAAAAAAATAATACAAGAAAAATTTCGGTAAGAAAAAATCCGAATAATGGTAAAATTATTATTTTAAGTATACTTTACCTGACACCCTATAACACCTGTGGTTTAACTTTAGCACAACCAAGTGCTTGTATAAGGAAAACATTGTGCACATATGGTTCTGATAGCGAAATTCTTTTAAGTGTTACTAACTACGTTAACCATGGTGGTGATGGTATAAATCTTAATTGAAAATTCCAATAACTATTACAATGTAAACAAGGACGCTAAGCATTCCTAATTATACTTAAGCGATGTGATTGTTATTAGAATTATTTTAAAAGCTAAATCTAATATGGAAACTATGGTAATACCATAAAACGATGGCACACTTACGTGGTCCTCTCCCATTAACTCCATTTACACCGTTAGCGGGCATTTTAAAAAAATCAGTTTCACAAAGGCAGACGTGATTACAAACTGTCACTTGTAAACGTTATGAATGAGTAAAGCAACGCAGCGGTTAAAATATAGGGTGCAGCGAACGGTAAGTACGGCGTGGAGGGGATGGGTGCCAAAATTAAACAAATCAGTAACATGCTGATTTGCACGTCTGCAAATTATCATTTATTATACATATAATAAAATTGTAACTAAGTCGAATCTGTACATTAAATATTTTTTGGAAAATCTAATTGAAATAGACATTATTGTCGATAAAGAGGCCGAATCTATAGCTTTTAGAATTCTTGTCTGTCTGTCTGTCTGTTACCGCATCACGAGAAAACCACTGGACCGATTTTGATGAAATTTGGTATGAGATAGCTGGTCATCCGGGTCAACATTTAGGATACTTTTTAACGCGGGAAAATATCTCATTTCTGAGAAAAAAATACAAAAACTGCATTGTAAGAGTATGTATGTATTCAGCCCTTTTTATCGTCCCACTGCTGGGCACGGGCCTCCCTTCAGTACGAGGGGAATCAGGCCATAGTCCACCACGCTGGCCAAGTGCGGGTTGGCGGACTTCACATGTCTTTAGAAAACTTGCTAAGTTCTCTCAGACATGCAGGTTTCCTCACGATGTTTTCCTTCACCGTAAGGCAAGTGGTAATCATGTTAGAAATGATTCGCACATGAAAATATCAGAGGTGCGAGACCCGGGATTTGAACCCGCTTCACTCGGTTTCTCAAGCGAGCGCGTTACCACTGGGCTACCACTGCCTTTTTTGTTTGTAAGAGTATACTAATATGTAAAACCTAAGAATTTGGTTTTTGGTCATCTGAACGCGGGCAGAGCCGCGGGCAATACTACTCTCATATAAAATTAATGATATACAGTACAGAAACTATTGCTTAAGAAATTATTGAGTTTTTAGACATAATTATAAAAGAAATTATTTGAAAAATAAAGCTAACTATATAAAGATATTATTAATGATTTAAATATTAAAATGCATTTGCTTAGCTACATATTGTAAGAATACCTATTTGTGCACTGTTTTTACCTACAATATCATAGGCATACGAAACCGGGTTAAATATTAGCTTTCTTCTTTATAAAGCTTTTCATTAACATTTAGGTAGCAATCTAAAGACATTATAATTAAAGTTCAACAAAATTTTCAAGCACAATATTTTGCAGAAGCTAGAAGTTATAAGTGTAGTAAAAGCTCTAGTGTGTATGTTTGTAGGTACGTTGAATTTTTTTTTCAAAATAAATATCTAATAAACATTTCTCATAATAAAAAACAAAAGATGTAGAACTGAATTAATGTACGTACATAAATTACTGATATAGATTTGTTATTGTACCTATCCAGACTAGAAAACCTTAAATTGAGAGTAATTAACGAATGAATATGTATTTAAAGTAGTTTGCACGCCACCTATCGTACATAGAAGACACTTTGTCATAAATCTTTTCAGGTTCATATCTCAAAATTTCAAACTAATCTAAGGAATGGTATATTTCAAGTAAATAAAATTTCATTTTTATACATCACGACGGACATCATACGTCTTTTTAAATAAAACATACATTACGTCCACTTTAAACTCCCCGTTTATTTCTGTAACATAAAATATTACCGCGAGTTTAAAAATATATGACTGCTCCAATTTTGGTGAAAGGCCATCTGCTATATATAAAATATTATTTACCATTGAGTATATATGGCGCAATCATGCAATGTACTGAGATGATTTTATTTCTTTTTAATTCAATTACTTTTTATTTATAATAATTACTAATATTATAAATGTGAAAGTTTGTTCGTTTGTTTGTCTATTTCGTAGAAACAGAGTGACGGATTGGCGTGAATTTTATTTAATTTGCATGGACAGAGTTAAGAGGGCTGGAGAGCGCCATAGGCTACTTTTTACAGCGGGAGATAATCTCACTCCCACGGAAAAACAAATTATCATACAACCCTCAACATCTCATCATACCTATGTATATATAATATACTACGCGGCTTCGCTCACGCTAAAACTACATAAAAATCTCTAAAAAGGTAGGTACCTATGTAGGTTTCATACAATCTTGCATCCCCTATTTTACCCCCTTATAGGATGAATTTCATAAAATGCTAAAACACGTATATATTTATTTGTATTGAAGAGCATTAATACCAAGTTTCAAGTAATTCTGATCCGAAATAAATATTTAATTGTATCATATCGTGTTTTCCCGTGGGAATAAGATGCGATAAAAAGTAGCCTATGTCACTCTCCATCTCTCTATCTTCACACCAAAAATCATGCCAATCCGTTACTCCGTTTCGACGTGCAAGAAAGACAAACACACTTTCACATTTATAATATTAGTATGGATAGTCTATCTATTCCATACTAACCGTTAAACCTATCTAGGGATGGACGGACCCAAGCGAAGCGAGGGTGAGTCGCTAATTTATTTATAAACATGACAAATAAATTATAATAATCAGTTACATAAAATAATTTCCCTATACCATACCACTGTTAACTAAGTTATTATTTAGTTAATAGAATTATTACTATAAATAAATACCTAATAATTATTAATTACAAATTTATCTTTTACTCATCTGGTTTATGATATTGACCAACGAACAAGCATTTAGATCCTAAACATTCGTATATGTACATATTTATAGATACTATAATTCAGTACAATATCACTTTAAATATGTAGGTACAAGTTGACGCAATCACGTGAAAGAAATTAATGATTCACCATTCGGTTGCCCATTATTTAATCATTTGTTTAGTCTATACCGAATATGATATTTATGTTAGAAATACTACACATTTTATACTGTTTAGAATTTCTATTTGATAATATTATGTAGTATTTCTAATATTTCTAATAAATATTTATTTATACCTCACGCGGGAATCGAACGTATGATTCGCAAATTGTTTTACATTTTACATTATATTTAATAAACTAGCATCATATTTGGAGTACATAAATAGGTTAATAAAATATTATGTATATTATTTGTAATGTAACGGTAATTAAAATGGTATAATCAATTATAATAAAACCATATAAAAATTAATAAAACGATATTTGAATCCCTAGTTTGAGTTATAGTACAGTAAGCACTGTACCTAGCTACTGAGTTTGAAAATATCACAAAAAATAAACAAAATAATCTTGTCGCAAACATCAATAAAACACTTGTGCTAATAAATTACGAGAAGAACTTTAGAAAAATGTTCTTTTAATTACACACACTCGATTTATTACAAGAATAATTCTCTTAGAAAGGTCAATGTGAAGGTCAAGATCAGAGTCAAAATCTGTAGAACCAATGTAAATGTATTAGCTAAAAATACGCAATTTTCCTTTACATACAATTCGATTTATATATAGCTGCGTTAATTTAACCGATTAAAATGCACGCGATTTACGCGAATATTAGACATCCCATAATAAATAATGCTAAAGTTTGGATGGATGGATGTTTGTTACTCGATCACGCCAGAATGGTTAAAAGAATCTGGGTGAAATTTGGCACAGAGATAGATTATAGTCTGGAATAACAATAGGTTACTTTTTATAGGAAAAGTGTACGGTTCCCGTGGGATAGATTTGTTATTGTTTTTCACAGAGCAAGGGATCGACTATCTGTACCATATTAAGCATTAAAACGTACCTAGGGATGAACCCGAGCGAAGCAAAGGTATATTTTATAATGAAGATCAAGGGGAACGAGTGTAAGGATATTATAATGGAAATTACATCTAGGGGCATCCGAGCGAAGCGAGGGTAAGCCACTAGTTTTAAATAAAACTATCTGTACGTATAGATGTTGGTATTATGTAAAAACCAACCATAATCACCTAATAATAACCCAAATTATATTTATTTTGTTATAGACAGTTGTTTATGTATATTTTAGTTTTGTGGCTAATTAATACTGTCTGTAATAACTATATATTGACTTTTGGGAAGTCCAAAACTATAGCCCCCTCCCCCTCCCCCCCATCCTCCTCCTCCATGACCATGTTTGTCGTAAAGCATTCGAAGCGTCGAGAACAACGACCAAATCCAAAAACTAGAGTCATTTAAAATGTAAAACATTCGCGTAAATATAATCAAGTAAAATACATTTAAAAGGAAGTGTCTAAGTGTATAACCAAATCAAGAAATAAACAATTAATTAACATTATTAATGCTTATTCACTTTGATTTGAAATTATGCAAGCATCACTTCACAATAAAAAGAAACGGTGCAATAAAACCGTCGAGACACAAGTAGCAAAAGAACAATGACCCACACATTCAAGTTCAAACAAGTTTACTCTTAATTCATAAACTCACCCTGAAACAACGAAACTAAATACTATTTTACAAAAAAAAACCGCTATACTGTCACATACTGTCACAAGTTAAATATTAAAGCAAAGTTTATTCAAACATAACGACTTTACATGCTGAAGTAAAAACGAGTTCGTATATAAAAAGAAAACTTTTTAAAACTCAAAATAAATTAAGTATGCATTATAACATCGCTTTCAGTTATAAAATATATTGTAATAATATTTCGCTTATTAAAGGTATAAAGGAAGACGTGAACGTGAATACTTACAGGTATGATGCACTGCCGTGTATTTGGTCACGTAGAGCCGACACCAATGGCACACCAGTCACCAACTATGAAACTTTACCAAGGTGACCTTCAAATCATTTTAGAAGGCACGCCATCGCGCATGCCCAAAACCATACACCGTAAAGTTAATTCAAACTGTTCATAATAAAGTATATTTTACTTTACAACTGTACACAGGACTTCGTTTTATTCAATTTGAAATGCATTGGGATTGGCTATGCGATAAGAGCATTTAATACATTTATTTTATCACTTTTGGATAAATTGTTATAATAATACATATATATTACCTACAACTTTCTCTATGATATTTTTGACTTATAATATTTTTTTT